GCGACAAGGGCATGAATCTTTTTTTTTTTTTCGCTTTTATATTTTTGTTCCAATGTTGTGGGAGTGTGTGTGTGTGTGTGTGTGTGTGTGTGTGTGTGTGTGTATGTGGTTTTAGTTCGTTTTCCTGAAAAAGAAATGTAGAAAAAGAAATAAATTAATTGTGTAGGAAGCTAAGGCGAATCTGTGACAAACTGAGGGAGGGGGAAACACACTCTGTAGGTGTATTTGTTTATCTATTCTGTTTGTTTCTTATATCTAACACCCTTCTCCAAGCCAACCCCTTCTAAAACACCGACACCAGCAGATGGTTTGCTGGAGAGGAGGTGCTGAGATCTTTTTACTACTTCCTGCTGATTAGGGACTTAGAGTTCCTTGTGGCGAGTCCAATCTTCTCTCAAGAGGATCTCTCCAACTTCTTGTCTCTTTTCTCTTGACCACTTGACAAACAAGCAACAGGAGCAGGTGCAGGATCAGGGGCAGGGGCAGGGGCAGGGGCAGGGCAGGGGAAGAGCAGGGGCAAGTGCAGGATCAGGTGCAGGATCAGGAGCAGAGGCAGGGCAGGGGTAGAGGCAGGAGAAGGAAGCAGCAGAAGGAAGCAGCAGAAGGAACAGTTGCTCCCCTCTCTCAGTGTTCTGGACTTGTATATGCTGTCAGAATTTAACTATCTTCAGCTGACAGAATCATGTGTTGTGGACAATCTGAAGCAGCCCCATATCCCACACTTGGGATTAAAATAAAAACAGAGGAAGGTGATGCAGCCCCGATGAGATCTAATAGGCTAGGCTCAGATAGAAGGGACTAGGGCAAGGGCATAGGGGGAGAACAGCGCGGGTCCGTGGGACTGGGAGGAGAAAATGAGGGGGCTACAGTGTGGATACAAAGTGAATAAATTGTAATAAACAAATAAATAAAAAATAAATAATTTAAAAATAATAAGAAGAAGTAATTAAATAGACTAAAACATAATGGGGCAATTTGGTTAATATTTTAACTAGTGTGAAAAGGTTTTTGAATATTTTGTGTCTGTAAAAATTGTGAAATTATACATTATTTTATTCTTGTTTATTAAAATATATTTGAGACGATGAAATGAAAAACCTTAATAAAAGAAAGTATTAATACAATGTTATTTTCTACAAGATAGAAGTATTTTATTCACTAACTCTTACATTAACAAATAGACCACAGAATTAATATAGATGTTGTATAAGTGATAGATTGATATTAATACCAATAAAAATAATTACTAAAAAGTTAAAATTAAGCATAGTAATTAGATTGAATTGGAACCAAGTTATACTTTATTACAGATAATCGAACTCAATCTCAAACCATTAATTAACAGAGAGATCAAGGGCCCATTAATTAAATTTATCTCTTCTCCGTCTAGTCTCAGTCCCTCCTTCGTTTGTCCAACGTCTGCTACTGATCTGTCGTTGTTTCTTTCAATTGTACCCGAAACCTGTGTCTACACATTTTTCTGACCGTGAAAAGAAATCTTTGTTTGAAAAAAATGAAAATATGAGAAAGATACACAAGTCCATAAGATTCACGAGGGGAATTTTAATACATATGGCTTATTTTTGGTGACTTACTGAAAACCCATCAGAACGACATGCTCATTTCCACAGTCTATTTTCATTTCTTTAAGAATCCAAGTCCTTTTGATCCTTATTTTCCTTTTTCATATTGAAATCTAATTCTAATATATTAGTACAATATCTGATTTGGTACATCAACGACTATGCCCTTATTAAAGTACATAAATAATATGGACATGTGACAGTATCACTCACTGTGGTAGAAAATCTTACTCAGATGCATAAGGATCTTTAAAGTTTGTGTATGTGTTTGTTGCCCATATTTGTACTTCCTTTTATGTTCTGTTAATCTTTTGGTCAGTTATAAAGTTGTGTGGCTATGTTATTTTGTTTTGTTTTGTGTTTGGGTAGAATACAGGGTTACATATAGACTCCTGAGAGATAGCTCAGCAGTAGTGAGTACATAGTGCTCCTGCAGACAATGCTCCTGAGTTCAGGTCCCAGCACCCACGTTGAACAACTCCCAAACACTGGAGGAATCTGAGGCCTTTGGCTTCCACTCATATATATGTAGCCATCTAAACACACATGTAATTAAAAATCAAATCCTTTAGACAAAAGAGTTCAAATACTTTTCCAAGTCTGTCTGTCTTGTCTTTCTATGCTCCTACTTCTAACCATGGGTAAAAGGGCTAATTTGTTTTTAATTATTTATTTTTTAAATGTTTTATATGCGTCTCATATTTTTATTTATGTAATGTACTACTCATCTTAGTACGGAAGGAATTAAATATGAATTTTCACGCTCATATATTAAACAGTTACTCATAATTCAACACATAAAATCACCCTTTTCCTTGTTTACCTCTTCTAAGCTCGACAGGATGGTGATTTCTGCAAGCATCAGTTAAAGATAAATTACTCTTAAACACACCCACTGTTTTAGTCAGCAACCGTGTTCCTTAATCTGACTGATTTATGCATTTTCATATTCCCTGTATCTCCTAATGGCAAATTGGAGGATGTCTGAGATGAGATTCCAATGATGGTAAAGGCTGGTGGAGATTTAAGCAAATCTCATTCTGTGTTTGAAAAGTGTTAACAGGGAAATACAGCTTCCTCAGAGCTGAGAAATATCCAACTTTCATTACGTTTTTACAATTACAACCAAAGATCCGAGAAGTGGGTGATCAAATTATTATGCTTTTGATGACCAGATTTACTAGTAGGTAAACTACATAAAATAATCATGTTAATAACCTTCTGCAAAAGAAAGAATCAATACAAAATCCCTAGTGAGTTTTTTTTTTTAGTTTCAGTTGCATTATTTTGAATTTTCATTCTCCAAACTGCAGAATATAATAGAATAATTGAAACTAAATTATTCATGCGTTTCCTACCACAGCTAATTTTTCAATGAAATAACTGGAATATATAAACTATGCACATAATTTCTTGGTTAATAGTGATGGGAAGGCAGAATTATTAATAAGTTTTAGGAATATTATTTTCTTGGTGTTCTAGAAACTTCCAAAAACAATCATTCAGCTAATTTATAGCTAGAGCTTAGCAGTTGCTAGGTCCCAAAAGGACCATAAAGATGATACTATAATTCTCATCTACTGGGATATATATATATATATATATATATATATATATATATATATATATATATGGAAATAGTGACATTCACACCAACAGAAATACTACTGTGTTGTGTAATTGTCATGACAACAATAAGATACTGAGATACAATCAATTTCAGTGTTTACTAACTTTATTCAGGGAGGACTTTACAGAGAAGGGAAGACTTGGCTTGTTACTGAGGCTTAAGTTAGGATTGGAAAGTTTGCACATCCAGAAGATGCTCTGGCTAAGAGGATGGAGTGTGAACCCTCCTGTGGCATGGACAAGCATAGGAATCAGGATTTTGCAGTTAATCTGGTACACCAGGAAGTGCAAGTTTATGGACAAAGAGTAAGTTGGAGGAATATGTTATGTATGGTTTAATTTTGTACTAGAGGAGAGGCATTTACACTGGGCAGAAATTTTCCTTCCTGAATTTGCAACTTCAGTACAGTCACAATGGAAGCAGCTGTTATCGATAGCAAAGATTCTAAGTAGCATGACAAGCTACTCTAGACACTCAGATTGCAAGCCTTTCTTCCGAGTTCATACAGAAAACTTTTAAAAGGCAAAGCGATGGTCCTATAAAAACACAAATGCTTATATATTGCTGTTCACAGACACACATCTGACATAGCAATAGATTTCCAGAGTTCTAGACCATCCATCTTATTGATACTTTCTAAAAACCTCCTGCTGCTAATCAGTTTTCAGTGCAACAGAGGGCTGAACAGCCGCTGCAGTAGTCATGAAGGGTATTTTTAAAAAGTTTGAGAGAGTTGTGGGACTCTGCTAGTAAGATCAAGATCTGGCTTTTCCAAGCCTTTGAGCTCAGTTTATTGTGAAGGACTCCTTTTCTCAGAGAGGTTTTCTCTTCCCTTGATCTGGGAACCCCATATCCTGTAAGGAGTATCACATTGCCCTTGGGGAAGATTATAGGCCCAACCCTTTCATGGTAAGAACATGCTCAGCTAGCACCTAGGGATTCCTGGAGATACCCCTGACCCATGCTAATAAGATCTCTTGGCTTTCCACCAATGGCCTTTAACTGTACCTGGAGATTCTCCCACCCATAGGGTAATTAAATGTTCTTCATGCTATTGCATGTAAATGAGGTACTGTACCATCACATGGAAATCAAGTGTTCCTTGCATATCTAGCCCCATCTAATCAAACACATTCACCCCTCCCCCTGCCCAAGGTTTATAGGGTTTATAAGTTTATATTCACAAAATAAATCTTACATTCTACTTCTTCACCATTCCTGAGATTTGTCATTTATTTGGGGAAGGGAGGGCTCCCCTCCTCCCTAGAGATTTGCTGCTGAAATCCTGGGGCTTGGGTGCCAGCCAGACTGGATGAAGCCTGACCAACTGCTACTAGCTCAGTGTTGACCTCAGGTGAAGTGCCAGGCTTGCATCTCACTGGACCTGCCTTCCACCAGACCTATGTTGGCTTCAAGTCAAGCAGGTGTGGGCTTTCTCCTACACCCCTGCTTTCAATACTGCCACTTAGCCAAGGGACCGTAACACTTCAGAATCATTACAGGCTTCTGGAACTCCCAAGTTGCCACCACCATCTGATACCAGCGTTCTCATTTAGAAGAACAAACTCTAACACCCGGTAGAAAACGCATCTCCACCTCCCACAGTGAGACCAGGAACTTACCTTGTACATGGGCCTCACCCTGATTGCTCTGACTGCTCCTGAGAGAAACGATACCTCAGACATCAGGGTCCCTCTGTTCATTCTTTGTCCAGAAGCAGACAGCTGCTTCCCAGACTACTGCTGGATGAAGAAGGACACAAGAGGGACATGAAAATAACAAAAGTATCCCCCGGCAATGGGAAAAGAGATACCTTGTTAGTGGTGGTGCTCTTATATCAGTCAGGAGCAGGGCAGATGGCAGGCCTTTGTTCATGCTATCTTGATGCCTGCCTTGGTGGCCAAAGCTGTTTTATAGTAAGGACAGATAATTATCTAATCATATCAAATCCAGGCAGTACAGTGCTGCAGGAGGAAGACAGACAGATACCAGCATTCTACCATGCCACGTGTTACAGGCACAGAGACACCCAAAGACCTTCCTTCTGCCCAGTGAATGTTCAGGGGCTGTGCAGAATTGGCTCTGCCTCTCACCTGCTGTAATACTCAGGAGACCAGGCCCTGCACCTCACCTGGACAACACAGCATAGCTGTCCCTGGTGATAGAGGCACAAGTAGAACTTCCTCCAGGAAGAGAGTATGGGAGAGGTGGTCCCACCACTCATCTGCTGAAAGGAGCATGGATACAAGGATGTTCTCCTTACCCCCCTCACTACCTGCTATTGTCAGGAGAGCTGGCTCAGAGAGCAAGAGTAGGAGAGCTATCCCTGCCCCCAACTCCTGTAGCACCTAAGAGAGCAGGCCTTGAACCTCGCCTGAGTAACACAGTGAATCTGGCCCTGATGACAAGGGCACAGGTTAGCCAGCCTCAATGGTGTGAGAGCAAGAGAGCTCTCTCAGCATCCAGCAGGCTGCAACACTTGAGAAAGCAGGTTTGGTGCCTTGACTGGGCAGCACAGTAGAGCTAGCATTGGAGGCATGGCTCTGGGTAAGCTGGCTGAGGGCATTCGAGAAGGAGAGCTGACCCTGATTCCTGCTGATGGCACCATCGTGTGGCCTGGACAGATCAGTGCTGGAGAGCTCATTCTGATGTTGTGGAAAGACTTCATAGTTATGTTTACATGACATTTGTCAGCTAACCGGGTGAACCCAATCACATATGTTTCACTGTCCTACTAATTGATAAGAAAAAAAACAAGAAGACAGGCTTCAATAAATAAATACCACTTTAATATATTTGTTCTTTTATACCAAATATTAATCTTCTGCTGAAGGAATGTAGACATAAAATTACTCCTGAAGATATTTTGCTATATTCATATCAGTTTTCACTCAGTAATCATGAAAGAATCTTTCTCTTGCAGTAGATGGGAACAAATATAGAGACCCACAGCTGGACAATGTGAAGATAGACTTTGAAACACTCATTCCATTCAGGCATGTCGCCATCAAATTCCTCTCTTCACAGGCTCAGAGAATGTTGGTGGAAGGAAAGGCAGAAAGGCTGTAGGAGCCAGAGAGGATGGAGGACACCAAGGACTCAAGGTCTTCTAAACACAGCAGTATTACCATATATATGAACTTGCAGAAACTGGCAGCAGGCACAGGGTCCCTTTCGGTCTTTACCCAGATGTGGTTCCATTGCTGAGAAAGATTGAAAAGAGGGAGGTATGGTGGGACTGGGAGGAGATGAGGAAGGGGGCTAAAGCTGGTATATGAAGTGAATAAAATATAATAAATAAATTTAAAAATAGATGAATGGCAAAAGAGATAGTCAAATGTCTCATCACTAAACTTGGAGATTATACCCGATTGATAAGCATTCACAGATGAAAAGTCATCTGTCTCCAATGAAGACTCACTGGGAATACAAAGGACTCATAAGAACAGGCCCCATGCCCAGTAATAGATGGCCAACACGAAGTAAACTCAACAACATCTTTGGATGTTCTAAAGTTTTAACAGGGCATTTTTAATTTTAGCTTTACAGGTTCTTTACATATATATTATGGCTTCTGCTTTTCTGTTTCTATGAGATTTCTGCACAAACAAATATGTGTCTTTGCAGCTATATGTGTATCTCATGCTTTTTCTTGGATCTTTTTTTTAATATCTGTTTGTTTTGTCCTTTTCTAGTTTATTTGGTTTTGTTTTATCTTGTTTTATTATTATTCTTTATATGCTTGTTTGTTTTATAAGGAGAGATGGCTAGGGTATGAATTCTGACTGATGGAAGGGAGGGTGTGGAGATTCCTGGAGGAGTTTGGGGAGGGGTAAATATAATCAGAATATATTGTATGAAAAATATATCTTCTATATAAGAAATAAAAAAGAAAGGAAGTATATTAAAATGCAAAAGAAGAATGAAACACAGAAGTCAGTACCCCATAAATACACAAATTTGGTGTCATAATTCTGAGGCATTATGACATAGAAAACCTAAAACCGAGAGTAATAGATATTGTTATAGCTTATACCGGGACCTCTACACCTAGACATATTAATCTCCTACCTCAGTACTTGACCTAACATGCCCCAGGCAAATTGAATTCACTCAATAAAGGTCCACTGAAAGAATGAATTTAGAATGTTTTATCATGCACTGAGCAAATTCCTTTGTGTATGCATAAGATTGACTAACTTTTATTCTACAAGATTCAGGATAGAGAGAATAGACTACATGATTGAAATCACAATTAAATGCTGTTAATGTACTATTTGTATTCTCACTTAATTTTCTTTTACTATAATCATACAAAATTTTGGAATGGTTATTACCCAGTGGCTTTATTTTCCTAAACAGTAAGAATATTGTTTCTTTCTTAAATTGAATTCAAACCAGGATTCTCTTTTGATCTTTCAGTTATCCCATAGGAGTCAGTTCTCTTCTTTCTCATCTGACTCTGCCCAGGAAATCGACCTTCATCAATAAAACCAGCTAGCTCTCTTGCCCTCTTGCTTCCTTTTGGATTTTTCCAAAGCAGTAGTAAGAAATATCAATCAAGAACAGCAAGTTGAGGGCTTCCCAAATACCTTGGGAATTTCCTCACAGGTCATCTAGAGTTGGCTGCATTCCTGTCAGGGGCCAGTTCAGCACATCTCTTTGCTCCATTCCTGCCTTTCTGGCCTCAGTGTTATACCACGGTTTCAGTGCTGATGTCTCCAAACCAGGGCAGCATCCTTAGCATTCCCCTCCTCTGTCCTCTTCAAATTATTAGACTGTATTTTGACATCCATTTCCTGAAAAAGATGTGATGGATATGCGTATATGTTTGGGTGTGTAAAATCAATATTGATTAAATGCATATAACTTGACATTATCTTGGTAAAATAAATATTGTGCTTGTAAATAATATGTCTGAAATTAGACACAAATAGAGACACTAAAGTTTTGTTTCCTTTTCCATTGACTAAGTTGCTTAGTTAGAGGCTGAACATCTTTTAAAAGATACAAATGCATATATTCTTAGTAGAGAAAAATTAAAAAAAAAACCTACCTATGTTCACTACTGAGAATAGAAAACATAATTGCACAGCAACATCTGTGAAAGCAATGCCATTCAATTCTATGAGCACTTGATAAATCGGTTTAGCAGGGAGAAGTTGTGAAAACTATGACAGATCTAATTAGGATATGATTCATGAAACTCAGGCCTAGCAGTCATCTGTTATCTACATTTTCATGTATATTTATAAGCTTAGAAATTGTTTGCTTGATAATCTTTAAAATAAATCATCTCTGGAAGTTTAACACTTAGACTAAATAGTGATAGCAATGCATATTATAGAATATAAAAATATTTTTATAAAATTCACTCAATATATTGATTCCACAGATTTTTTTAAGTTTAATTACTTTTTAAAATCATTATACGTTTAGATGTAGTTATAAAGAAACATTCCATATATCCTTCCCCAGATACCTCCCAGAGGCAAATGCAAGTACTTTAAAGACAAGTCACAGTAGGATTTTAACATTGATAAAATTCACACTTATTTCAAATTTTTCTATATCAATTCTGTAGTCAAATAGACACACATACGATTAAAAAAATTATAATTGATACACACTTATTCTGCCAATCCAAAATTATTATTAGACTAAATTCAGTGTGAAGATTTTAGAGGTAAAGGCTAAAGGAAAAGTTGTCTCTTTTCCTGTTGTCAAACCCCTCATTAAAGCTCGAGGATCTGAGCATATATGAAGCAGAAAAATTCTACAAGCCAGAGTGGTGTATGACTCCAAGAAAATGGTGTCTTCTACAGAGAATAGAACTGTTGCTCGTTTAACCCACAGAGATGGTTACTGTAAGCACAAGACATGTGTAAGATCAAACCAGACAAAATCCAAGCAGACACAAAGCCCTAAACCTAAATTGATAACTACCAAGGAGGGGAAAATGCTTTTCTGCTGTCGAGTGTCACTTCAAGGTAACTTCAGGGCAACCCGGAAGTGTTTTGCCAACACTAAACATTCCATGTTTGCTGTATCTTTCTTTTGTTTTCTTAATTTTTTTTAATTGATGTTATTTTGCCTGGTTTGTTTGTCTTGTTTTCAATGTTTTGTTTTTAACTAATTTTCCACTTTTTTTTTCCTTTGAGAGAGAGAAAGAGAGAGAGGGAGCATAAAGTTGGGTAGGTAAGGGCTAATCTGGGAGGATTCGAGGTAGGCAATTAAATATGACCAAAATATATTGTATGGGAAAAAAATAAAATCAGATTAAAAAGCAAACATCTGCTGAGGACATGTAGAGCTGCACTGTTTCCCAGGTATTCAGTATAGTATAGCATAGACAGACACGTACATCTCTAGCCAGCAGGTGTTTACTCTAACACACAATAGAGATAACTGAATGTTAGCCTGGGAACTTCGGTTCAGGAAAACACTCTTATTTTCACTTGCTTTTTTGTTTAAAAAATTTCAAGTTTAGACTAAGTCTAACAGATAAAAATATCAGCAGGTTATAATTTCAAGAAAAGTGAATTTTAATGTAACTAATAAGAACAATTTAAAAAAGACCAACATTAATAGTAAACATAAAAAAAAAGAAAAAGTGAATTGTAAAATAAATGTCAAACAATAGTTTAGATCAATTATAGCACTGTCCATTATAAGTTTAGTAAAAACTGAGTAAGCAAAAGTTGAGTAAACAATATTCCTCAGGCTTCAATAGTTGATAGGGCCTGACCTTGCCTCTTTGATGTTTGAAGGAAAATTTTAAGGTTAAAAGATACCCAGGGAAAAACAATCATTTAAAGAAAAGCACCTTCTCTCAGTTTCTTTGCGACAATTTACCATGTGTTATTGTTTTCATGGTAAAATGTTTGTAACACAATGGAAAATGTTTTTATTCATTTAGTAATTTTATTT